GCTTGTGGAGCCGGGGAGCTCGGCTGGGCTGGAGGAGTCTCACGGCCCCGGAAGAATGGTTTTTATTGCAGAGTTTATTAGTGTATTTTTCAGTGTGCTGGAAGGAATTGAGCAACCAGTTAAAAATGTTTCATGGCCTGGGGAAGTTCATTGCAGCTACTGTGTAATAGGGACCCAACCATAATGACTCAGAAACACCGTGAGGCCTTTTACAGCAAATTCCTGCTTGCCATTAAAATATTTACTGGGTCGCCAGGAGTCCTTTCCGAGTCTGATCTTCTGAAATGAGACTAGTTGGGTTGTGGGGGGCAAGAAAACATGCATGTGAGTGCCATGCTCGTGCCAAGCTTATGAACACAGGTGCAGACGGTGCATCCGTGCAGGCCGAGTACACTCATGCCAGCATTGGCGTTGGCTTCTGCCATCCTTGTGCCTGCTTACATACACGTGGGCATGCATGCAAGGTCGTAGGCACAGGTGTGCACATACACACACACCTTTCTGCAGGCAGAGAGGGTTTTGCTACCATGCAGCCTGCACATGAACATATGTATGATGCAAACAAGCGCTCAGGCGGCACACACATGCAGGTTTCTGTGCCAAGGCACATGGGGCACATGTGTCCCATGGATGCGGCTCTGCCTGGCCCCAGCGGGAGCTGTTGGCCACATGCTTCTTTGAAATGAGCTGTCACGAGCCGTTTGGAGTTGATGATTTCCTCATTCCTTGACGTACTTGGCCACGTCGGCAGCGCCCGGCTGCGGGGACGCGGCTGTGCCCCGTTGTGCAGGCAGAGGAGCTGCCACCGCTCACTGTTGGAGGTGATGGGAAGGGCTGGACGTGGGCACAACGTGGAGCTGCCTGGTCTCCTCCTGCCCTGGCCCTGCTGTGCCCAGAACAGTCAGACCCGCAGCAGGCACACAGTGCCTTGCCCTTCTCCAGCCCTTTGCAGCACAGCTCCCTCATTTCTCTTCTTCCTCTTCCTCCTCCTCAGCTGCCTCCAGCCTCACATTCTGTCTTGCTCCTTCTTTTGGCAATGGTATCTGCTGCTTCCCTAGTTGTGCAGGGCAGGAGATGGGGGTGATGGGCAGCGCATGGGTCGGGGCTGGGCACCCATGGTGCCAGGTCACTGTGCTGACATCCACCGTCGTGTAGCAGGCAGCGCTGATCCAGTGTTTAACACAGAGGCAGGTGATGGAGACCATGCAGGAGAGCGCTTGCAGACAGTGGGGTGGTTAGGAGTGGGCTAGGACTTCCTGCCTCAGTTTGCCTGTGTGCAAAGCAGAGCCGTATTGTGTTTGCTGATGTTGGAGAAAGCGCTCAGAGCACTCAGTTAAGAAAGGAGCAGCAGTAGGGGCTGGGGTGGGGGCTGGGAGAGCTGCCCAAGCATGGCTGCAGGCAAAGGCAGGTTAGACCCAGCCTGGCACAGGGGAGAGCGACTTGGGCAGTGAGGCCTGGTGGCCTCCCTGCACAAGGCTTGGGGACAGTAGCCACATCTTGGGGCTGCCCTCCTCTGCGTGGCCAGGCTAGGGGAGCACAGGGCTGGAGCCAGCACCCCCTTCCCTCTGTGACAGCAGGACAGAGGCTGTGAGAGTGGCGGGGAGCTGCAAACAGGGCTGCAAGCCAGCCTGGAGCTGGGGCAGAGGGGGTGGTTGGTCCCTGAGCCTGCAGCCCCAGCAGAGCAGGGAACACTGGGGGATGCGTCCTGGCTGTCACTGCCTGGAAAATGAGCCCAGCCAAGGCAGGGTGTCCAACTGACCCTGCTGTAGCACGGGCTGAGCTGTCCCTGCGGCTCCCCGCTCCAGCAGCTGGAAACATCTGGCTGCGGGAAGCTTGCTAAATTGATGCGGGGAGGAATCCAGCGCGCTCCTGCTGTTCCCACACTCCAGCCTCTCCCAGCGGCTCCAGTTTCGGCTCAGCTCTGGCATGCTGCAGCTCAGACAGCCCTGAGACAGCCCCCAAGCCCCTCGCTGCACCTGGAAAGTGGACTGTGGGGGCCCGGTGTCACCGCCCTGGCCCAGCACAGTAGGGATAGGCAGTGGCAATTCAGCGCTGGCAGCGATGCAGCCACTGGGATGTGTGCCAGAGGTGGGTGAGCAGCTCCTTGAGTCCCAGTTTGGCCCTTTCCCAGGTGAGAGCTGCTGCTTTTCCTGGGGCAACTGCAGAGGCTAGAGTGACTTGGACTGTCACCCAAACACTGGAGGCCAGGAGAGCAAACTGTGCCAGGCATGGGTGACCAATGGTGCTGTGGATGAAGCTGGGGATGGGGGTCACTGCCATAGCCCTGAAACACTGGGGCTGAAGCATCCTACAGCCTTTTGCCAGGCACCTGAGCCCTTGGATGCTGCTTCTTACCTTGGGTGCCGTGGGGGTCCTCGCTGCAGGGGGTCCCCCAGCAGCACTGAGGGTGCAGGAGGAGGTGGCACCCACATGTCAGCTCCTCTGGCTTTGCACAGGAGACACAGCAAGTGCTCACCCTGGCCCCACTGCTCCTTGGGATGGGGGTGGCTGTGGCAGCCCTGCTGGCAGTGGCACCCCCAGAGGAGGCAGCACCAGGCCCAAGTGCTGGCTTCATGCCCCGGGGGAATGGCTGCGGGTGGCCACGGGGGAGGCAGCCGGAGTGTTTTTGGGAGGGAGCTGTGCCCAGGAGGAGCACGCTGCCGAGCTGGCAAGGGGGTGGGAGCTGCTGGCGGCGCCAGGGGACAATGGTGGCTCTTCCATCCCATCCTGCTCTGTCCCGCCCCAGCCGACAGGGACATGTCGCTGCTGGGGTATGTGTGCCGCCTTCTCCGGCTACAGGAGCTGGTCTCAGGGTGGATGGCCCCCACTGAAAGTGGTCAGGGTGGAGGAGCTGAGGGTGCCGAGTCCTTCCCTGCATGGACCCGCCTGGGGACACTGGTGGGTGTTTTATTGTTCTTCCCTAAGGTTCAGATGTGCCTCCGCGCCAAAATCTTCCATTGGCCTACAGAATGCACGTGTGGCAGTGATGCACTTGGCCTCAGGTTTCTGCTCCGCCATTTCAGGCCTGAAAATCCATCTTTCCAGGCAGCCCAAGGGCAGGACCTGGCAGCTTTGAGGTGACCCTGATCTGCCAGCATGGCCCTTTCCGCCTGCCCCACCAGAGGGGCATAGAGTCCCTTTGTCCCCAGCCACAGAGCAGAGTGGGTGCCATCCTCCAGCACCAAGGGCCCCTCGAGCCTCCTCTGCACTCCAGCTCCATGTGCGCAGCCCCTCTGCTCCAGCCCTCCAGCCCTCTGCCCTTGCTGCCTGCACATCCCTATCCTGTGGCTCTGGGGCACCGGTTGGATGTTCTGTGCCTTTGATTAACTCCTCCAACATGCACAGGCCACAACAAAGATTTAATCACAAGTTCATGACTTGCCTCCTGCTAAGCCTTGTTCAGGGAGCTGGACCAGGGTGATCGGACACACGCAGGACCGGGTATTCTTACGCAATGGCGTGTGCCGGCTGCGTTGGGTGCCCCGTGGGCTCACCAACCCTCTTACCCTCATCTACAACTGGCTTTAACCTGCTTGATTTAACCTGTCTCATTGGGGCTGTTACCGCTTGTCACCACCTTCCAGGGTCACACGTAAATTGGTGCCGCTTCACCGGTTTGAGGTGCTCCTGCCCGGGCCAGTGGGCGAGCAGAGCCTTGGGAGGGGGCAGCATCACCCATGGGTGCTGCCTGTGGCATGTCCGGTGGCATGGTTGGTATGTGATGGGGACAATGGGACACAAGCCCTGCTCCTGTGCTGGACATGTGGCGATGCTGTTGCAGGGAGCTTGCCGGGGTGTGTGCCAGTGGTGTCCCCCCAGTCCCTGCGTCACTGCAGCTTACACAGTGCCGTTGCAAATCCTGAAGTGCTGGTTGCCACGTTACATTAGGAGGAGCCATGTCCAGCATCCCCGGCGCCCGCTGTCACTGTGGTTCAATGGCAAGCTGTGGCTGAAAGGCTTGAAATTGGGGATCAAAGCTGCGGTGGCACGGCTGTTAGCCACCGGGGATGCACACGAGTGGGTCAGGGGCGTGGGGGGCTGGAGCCGAGCTCGGCAGCACTGCCAGGGCTGTGCCAGGTCTGACCCCCCCTCCTCTGTGTGTGTGTATGCACACATATGTGTGCATTCATGTGTAGGGATGTCTTGGGGGGGAGGGAGGTGCACATGCTTGTGTGTGCAGGTGCGCCTCTGTGTTTGCAGATGCATTTACATGTGCGTGTGGATCTGCATGCACAAGTGGTTGTGGTGCAGGTACATGCATGTCCACACGTGCAGGCTGGGGGGTGCATACCTGCGTGTGTGCGTGCACACCTGCGTGTGTGCATGCACGCCAGTGCTATGGGGGTACACCCCTGGAGAAGCCCCAGAGCAGCTGGAGCTCAGGGTTTCCAGCCCCAGGTTGTGCCTGTGGGGGGCTTGGTCTTGCCGGCTGCTCCAGCCTGCAGCAGCGGCAACCTCTCCCTGGGCACAAGGAGCGGGGCTCGACTTGCACTGTTCCCTGACATCTCCTCAGCTTCTGCTGGCTGCATGCTGGGTGGTGCTGCTGCAGCACCTGTGTCGCCAGGCCGAAGCACCTCCAGAGCCTGGGGGACACAGGGGCAGGTTTGGGGATGTTCTTCCGGGGCAAGGGCTCCTGTGTGGCCCCATGGAGCAGGGTCACAGTGCTTCGGGGTTGCCTGACTGTAGGTGGCCTCCTGTCACCTGCGTGGGTCCCGTGGTCTCACTTGGTCCCCCCGGCCCTGCTGGCCACTGCCCAGCTCATCCTTCCTGGAGCAGACATCCCCATCATGGCCACAGCACCCTTGGGGGTGGCATTTCGTGGTGGTGCAGCTCAAACCTGGTGCGAGCCCTGCCCTGTCCCTTCCCAGTGGCAAAGTGAGAGCTGGGGGGCACAGCTGTGGGCAGAGGGGTGTGGGAAGGAGCTGGGAGGGGCACAGCTGCGGGTAGAGGGGCTCAGGAACCATTCATCCCTTTAAAGCTGCTGCCTTGTCTCTCCACAGACCCTGAGTCCCAGAGGAAGAGGACAGTGCAAAATGTGCTGGACCTTCGGCAGAACCTGGAGGAGACCATGTCCAGCCTGAGGGGCTCTCAGGTGTCTCACAGGTGAGACGCCAAAACCGGACCCCCACCACCCCTTCCCCGCAACCAGTGTCCTTCCTGGGGCAGCAAGGGAGGTTGGGGCGGCTGGGAAGCGGCTCTGCTTTGAGCAAGGGCGATGTTGGTGGGAGGGAGCAAGCTGTGGCCTCTGGCCTGGGGACCCTGTGCATGGGGGATTGGAGAGATGCCCCCAAATCTGTGGGGTGTCATGCACAGGGCTGCGGCAGAGCTCCATCCCTAGCAGTGCTCTGGGTCCAATGCTGCCTCATGTGCTCTGTGGCAGTGGGGATGGGTGGTGGTGGCACCAAGGGGAGCTGGTTGCCCCCAGACTCCAGGCAGGGGGTGAGGTCTGTTCCCGATGGTTGGGTGTCCCTGTATGGACAACCAGAGGTGAAGGTATCCCCTGCACCTGCCCGGGTTTGGACCACTGGCTCCATCCCCATCCATGACTCAGTTTCTCTACTCTGTGTAGGGGTGATGATGGAGAAACCCTCAGACAGAGCCAACCAAATGTCTGGCAGTCCACGGGCAGAGGTGGGGTACCCTGCCCAGATTGGAGCTGGTAGCACTCTAGGGTTGCAGCTGGGGCTGTGGGGACGGTGGGGCTGGGGAAAGGGTGACTGCTGGGCGGTGAACCAGAGCGGAGTATCTACCTGTGTTCAGAGGTCTCTCTGACACATGCCTGGGACTACCTGTGTGTCCCCCACATCTCTCAGTTGAGACCATTGCAGGGTTACGGCTCTGCTCTGGACGCGCTCGGGGTCAGCATGGCAGCTCCAGCCTCCTGCCTGGCTCCTTATCGGGGCCGAAGGGCCCGGACCCGGTCAGCGGCGGGCCAGGAGCAGCGGGTGGGGAGGGGGCATCCCCCCAGGGCACCCTCCCGGCCCCCACCCCGCTGGTGCAGCCGCGTTATGAAGCCTGGGCTTTGCAGAGAGACCGTGTCGGGTGTCAGCGAGTAGGGAAAGCTGAGGATGCGGCGAACATCCTTCTCCTGGTGTTTGTTGCCACCTCGTGGTGTCCCTCGGTCCTCATTTTTGTGTTGGAAGAGGCAAAAAGCAGCAGCTTCGACCCCCGCTTCACCCACCACTCATCATTACAGACCTTCCCTGTGTTGCCCCTCGATCAGCTTCAAGCGGGCTGCTTCATCCTCAATGATTTAGCTGTTCCTAACCCAGAAGCTCGTCTAGACCTTGCTTGTCCTTGGCTGCATTTTGCAGACCTTTTCTGAGCTGGATGCAGCAGATTGCTGGGGCAGTGGGATTTGCATGGGGCTGCAGCAATATTCCCCGAGTTGGCCATTTCCTGGCATTATCCATTACAGTTCTGCCATCCCTTTGCTCGGCATAGGAGCTGGTTCACAGCCTGGTGCTGCTCATGCTGAGTCAGGGCTGCTTTGTGTTCACTTCGTGTTTGCTCTGTGTTCACTTTGCATTCATCTGGGTGAAACTTCACCTGCTGCCTTCTTGCCCCAGCACTCAGCTCCTTTGCAAATCCTCCATCAGCCCCAGTCTTAAGGAAATAGGGTGAGGATATTATAGGTGATTAAATTAGTGTTGCTGGCAGGTTTCGACTCTTTTGCTATCACTTCCTTTTCTTGATGAGTTATGAGTACATCGCATGGCGGAGGCCTCAGCCATATCCCTGCCACAGAGAAAAATGACTGTTGATAGCCCAGGGATGCCTTCCTCTGTGTTCTGTCCCGTAAGTGGTTCTTAAATATGTGAGGATCTTCCCTCTTATCCCGTCGTAGCTGAGTTTATTTGGAAGCTTAATCTGCCTTTGGTGAGGGCACTCATCCACCACCTTCTGGTAGCCTGCAGCAGCCTTGGCAGTGTGCTTCCTGCATCCCTCCAGGAGCTCCACCACGCTTGTGAGCCAGATTTTCCTTTACCAAAGCTGTGTCAGCTCTTTCCTGGTATGTTGTAATTACACACATAGCCACTAATTCTGGTCTCAGGAATGCTTCCTGCAAGTGTGTCCGATAGAGATGTCATCCACGGTCCTCTGGATGTGCCCTGCATTGCCGGTATCCCTGTAGCCGCTTTGGGCTCTCTCTTTATTCCTCCCACAAAGTATTCCTCAAATTTCTCTTGTTCTCCCTGCTGTATTCTGTGCAGCGGCTGGGGGCTCAGCCTTTGCTGTTTCCTTGCTGGGACACAACTTTGTTCCTGAAAGACGTCATCATACTTCTGGCAGCCTTTGCACCCGGCTGCAGGGCCGCACGAGCTTCCTCAGGGGCTTGTCCTGCTTGGAGACGTGGTTTGCATCTGCTCTGAGCCACCAGCAGAACATCCTTAAATAGCCTTTGTGCTGCTGACAAAAACTAAACCCTTTTAGTTCCGCTTTAAAAAACTTCCTAGTTTTTTATGTAGTTCCCTGTTTTAAATTCAATACTGCAGCCGGGGTTTGGCTTTTGGTGTTCCTGCAGGAACGTTTAATCCAAGCTGGGGAATAGCTCGCTGATAGTAACGTTTGGAGCCAAGTTGAGGGCTGTGGGTTCCCAAGTAGCTGCTCCAAGAAGTAATCACTTTTGGTGTCTAAATTTAGTCTCAACATCACTCCCCGACATGCTGTTTGCCCAAAATACACCCTGAGGGGTGTGGGGAGTAACTGAACTCCCTGTTCCTGATGCACTCATGGGCTCTGGGCTGGCTGGAAAGCAGCATGCTTGCAGGCAGCCCCGTTGGGCTGGGCAGCCCATCTCGGCGTGTTTGCAGCGAGCCCTGGTGCCACCCCCATGGAGGTGGGTGGATAGGGCCTCTGTGGGGTGGTTGGGGCTGTAGGGAGGCACAGACCTCCCCATCGCACCCCATGTCCTGCTCCACGGTCCCTGGGGAGAAATGAGCACCACCAGACGCCAGTGGGTGCTGGTGGTATGGATGTCCCAGTGCGTCCTGGAGTGTGGGACGCTGTGCTGGCACCAGGTAGGGAAGGAGGGGACCATCCCCTGCCAGCCAAGATGGAGGGGGTCCAGGACAGACAGTGTCACTGCACCCACACTCCTGGAAGCCTCTGGCCTTGTGTGGCTACCTCAAAATGGGCAGTTTTGTTTTCTAAGCACTTGCAGCCCCATTTCTGGGGGAGTGAGGTAGGGCACAGACCTCTGCTGGCCACCATGCCCTGCCCTAACCCTCCATGCACCCCATCCTCACAGCTCCCTGGAGATGACCTGCTACGACAGTGATGAAACCAACCCCCGGAGTGTCTCCAGCCTGTCCAACCGCTCCTCCCCGCTGTCCTGGCGCTATGGGCAGTCAAGCCCGCGCCTGCAGGCGGGGGATGCGCCATCAGTCGGGGGGACCTGCCGCTCTGAGGGCACCCCCAGCTGGTACATGCACGGTGAGCGGGCACACTACTCGCACACCATGCCCATGCGCAGTCCCAGCAAGCTGAGCCACATCTCCCGCCTGGAGCTGGTCGAGGCGCTGGACACCGATGATGTGGAGCTAAAGTCAGGCTACATGAGTGACAGCGATCTGATGGGGAAGACGCTGACAGAAGATGACGACATCACCACAGGGTAAGTGCCTGCGCCAGGGCTCGTGCCCAGACTGGGGCTCTCCTGGAGGTTTCACCACCTCCTGTTTGGCTGGTGGTGGAGGGGCACCAGGCACAGCAGAGATGGATGAAAGAGCACATAGATCACGGCCAGTCTGGCCAGGTGGATCATGTCCCTGCATCCTAGGAGCTGCTTTCCCACTGGTGAGGCAGTGTAGCCCTTGCAGTACTGGTGGTGCTGGGCCAGCTGGGGCCTCTCAGGGCTGCTGAGCCCCTGAGCTGGGGCGTGCTGCTCTCCCAGTGTGTGGGAAGTGTCCAGCTTGATCTGGGTGTTCCCAGAGCAGGGGGCTGAGAAAAGCACATGGTGTGTGGCTGCAGGAGCCCTGAGCCAAAGCCCTGCTGGGGTAAATACTGCTGCTTTCAGAAGCTCTCTCCCAGCTTACACCAGTGGGTCTGAGCTGCTGCCTCTGACCCTGGCACTGTGGGGATGTCCTGTGTCCAGCTGGGAGTGCTGGTGACCCATGGTGGGACAGGCTGGGTCAGGTCTCGGCACCCCAGCGAGAACCAAGCACTGAAGTGTCATTGCCGATGGGTGGCATGATGGTGGAACAGGGTGCGCTGCTGCGTGGGGTCCCCTCCTTCTGGGACCCCCATCAGCCTCTGTCCCTCCACCCACAGGGCAAGGGACATCTCCTGGCAGGTGGACACAGCCCACCATGCCCAGGGCTTGCACTTTTTTTCCAGATGTGTCCAGCTCCTGCTAGGCTGTTGAGGTGCCCCTGGCTCTGGCAAGGGTCCAGGGTTTCAGCATGTTGGAGGTTTCCTGTTTCAGCACATGAGAAAATAAATAACTCCAGCATTTGAGTTGTCCCAGAGCAGGAGGAGGTATTTGGCCTGACAGTGCTGCTCCAGCCCTCCTGGGGTGGCTGTAGTCATGTCAGCTCATTGCAGTATAGAGCACACCCCATGGCTTCACACCCATCCTGGGGGCTAATGCTCCCCAGACATGGCCTGGAGGCACATGTTAAAGTTAGAGGAGACACACACCGAGGGGTGCTTGTGCTGGCCTCTGCCTCTGCATGCTCCATCTTGGGGGTGAGAGTGTCCACGGCACCTCAGGTGTCAGGCCCGTCCTCCCCACGGACACATGGGGTGGCCTTGGGGGGCTGCCCTGTGCTTGTGAACAGGGGTGCCTTGTGCTGGCTTAGTATGGACCCCTTCTGGGGACCGTAACCCATCGCTTGGCAGACAGAAGTGGCACGTCACCACCCTCTGCCACTGGCCACTGAACTGTGGGGTGTGATGGGCAATGGGGTGGCATTGGGCTGCCCTGGATGGCTGGGGTCCCAGTGGGGGTGAAGGGCTCCACTGCTGCCTGTCTCCCTCCTTGTCTTGCCTCAGAGCTGCTCATGCAGGCAGATAACCTTGGGGTGTCCTTGGCTGCGGAGGCAGTGCCGGGAGGGGTGAGCCAGAGCATCAGTTCGTCTCCATCAGCCACTGAGCAGGCAGAGCGTGGGCAGGGTCAGCCCTGGCGGGACGCTCCCTGGGCTCAGCCCTGCACACTGACCCAGGCAGGGTCCGCTTCTCCTCCTGGGAAGGGCCAGGCTTTGCGGATGGAGCCCTGCACGTGGGTGAGGCTTTCAGCACCACAGTGAGCTGAGCCTGCACCGCCAAGGTGAGGTGCTGCAATCCCTGTTCCTGCACAGGGTCCCCAGTGTGATGCCCTGGATTTGCCCTGAGAGAAGTCTCCAGTGCCCTGCCAATGGGTGCAGAGACAGACTGGGTACTCTGTGCTGGTGGTCTGTGCTGGGTACCCCTCCCCAGGGATGGGGGCAGGAGGGCAGCTGGGGCAGCACAGGATCCTCTTATCCACAGGGACATGTCCTGGAGATCAGCCACGTTGCTGGGATGTTGCTGGCATGTGGGGCCGTGCAGTGACCTAGTCGCAGCTCCATCCCCCATGGCCCCACAGCAGCACTCAGGAGGGGCTACCCCAGAGCAGGCAGCATGGCAGGGCCTTTGTCCCCAAGGGACGTCCCTGTCCGGGTGCTGGGGGACACCGGGGTACCCTGTCCAGGAGCCTGGGCTCCGACTTCAGAGCCAGGGCAGGGGAGCAGGGGCATCCCCTCCTCCCATAGCCGTCCGGGGCGAGGAGCTGCCATGCCGGCCGAGAGCACTCATCCAGCACAGCCCCTCATCCAGCCTCCTCCGCTGGCTCTGACCTAGAAAGCAAATACCGCCCCAGGCCCCGTCTCCCCGTGCCGCTAATGCACCGGGCAGGAGCCGAGTGCTGCAGATGGGGCCATCAGCCCCCGAGCCCGGGCCGCCGGGCCAGTGCCTCCCTGCACCACGCCGGCGCACACCCAGGCTTGTAGGGCAGTAGGTCAGAGCTAGCTTAGAGGACGCGGTGGCATGTCCCCCTCAGAGATGTGCAGGGCCGTCTGATGGGACCTGGTATCCCCATGGCTTGCTGGGGAAGCAGCCTGGAAGGAGAGAGGGTTGAGGTAGGTGAGGCACGGCCGGGGCATGGGGACTGTCTGTGGAGTATCGGGGTGAATTCGGCAGGGTGGTGATTGGGGTGGGCCCAGCTGAGAAGGCAGTGGGGGTCCCAGGGCCCAGCTCAAAGAGAGGGTGGGATGATCAGGTCTGATGGTGAGAGCAGGGATTAGCTGGGGACACCCCAGCCCCCAGAAGCGTTTCTGTATCAGCTGAATATGCTGGCATCCTAGTTCCTTGCCTGGTCATGCCTGCCTGCCTGCGTCCGTCGGGCTGGCACTTGTGGCTCCCCTCCACCAGCAACCTGCTGCTGGCTTTGGGGTGTGCAAAGCTCTGGCTTTGCCCTCCCTCTTTGGCAGCAAGGCCCTTCTTTTGTTCCTGGTGTCGCCATATCCTCCTTGTGCTCTGTAGCAGGGCAGCCCTTAGCTGGTGGGGACCCGGCACAGCCCGGGCTGGGAACAGCCCTGCTGGGATGCACCCACACTGCTGCCGGCACCATGGTATCCGAAGGGCCTGGCACAGGCAGTGAGCTCTGCTTAACATGGCAGCATCTGCTCGGATGGTGCTGCTCTCCTGCCCTGTCCTGCCTATCCTTGGGGCCTGGGCAGGGCACATGCAGGGACAGCACCAACCCCTGGGCTGTTTCTCTGGCACTGAAAAACCTTTGCTCTCTTCCTTGGCTGCTGTTGACTCAGGTTTCCACCCACCACTGCTCAGTGTGCCCCTTGCTGTTCCCTGCCCCTGATGCCAGTCCTTGGATGGGTGCAGTGCTGCCGGTAACGCTTTCCCACCCCAGCCAGCCTGGGGATGTTTCCTGGACCCTGGAGGTCACCCCACTGGGAGGTCCACCAACGTGCGGCCACCCACTGCCAAGGGACCTCTGCGGCTGTACAGCCGCAGCGTGGCGCTGGGGCTGCGATGCAGCAGTGTGGGCACCTTCGTGTGCAGACCTGCATGTGAATCAGGCAGCAGCAGAGGAGGCGGAGGACACCTGAGCGGGGATGTTCAAGCTGGGTTTTGCCTGGTTTCGTCTGGGCCACATCCTGCATGTCCAAGCGATGCCACCTTCTCCAGGTGGAGCTGCCGTTCCCCCAGCATGTGGCTGCGTGTTGGTGCGTCTCCCCCCGTGCTGTGTGCGCTCAGGGACCTGATGTGAGCAGCTCTGGCGGGTCCTGGGTGCTGGTGCAGGAGCGGGTGAGCGTGCATCACCCCTGGGTGTTCCCTGGGGCCATCCGGGACACGGTGAGGAGCAAGCGGGGTGCTGCGGGGCTTTGCTGCGGTCGGGAGCTGGTGGGGTGTGCTGGCTCCCAGCCCCCAGCCCTGCCTGCCTGGGGCCGTGGGGCTTCCCTCCTCCCATGCAGGGTAGGATTCCGGGCTGAGGGCATGACAAGAGTGTTGGCTCGTCCCTGCTTTGCCCTGCTCCGCCACATCTCCTGGGCTTGGAGAGCAGTCTGCTCTCCAAGTGATGTCGTCCTTTCCACCACCCTCCTTTTGTCAGACGCTTCATCAGTCAGCCTGTTCCTCAGCCTCTTCCCCACAAATGGTGATGCTGCTGCGAGGGAGCTGGGGTGCTCTGGATGTCCCTGGAGGGGTCCATCAGGCCACCGCGCCCAGTGCCAAGGGCTCAGCAGGGCCTGAGCACGTCCCTGTGGTGCGCCTCATGCTGCAGGACAGCACTGGGCACCAGCTGGGGGTTGAAGGGACCTCCTGTGTGGCCTTGGCTGTACCTCAGTTTCCCTTGGTCCACCCTGCTGGCTGCAAGCGGGTCAGGGCAGGGCATGCCCGGGTTGTGGCAGGGCAGAGCCGCTCACGGTGGGGTTTGCGGGGTGCAGAGGAGGAGGCTGGCTGGCTCTGGTACACAAGGTGACCTATGGGGACATGAAGCCTCAGCTCAGCTGTGCGCCCAGAGATGGTGCTTGTGGGATGGACAGCTTCCCAGGTGAGGTCCCCAGGGAAAAATTGGGAAAAGCTGGCTCCATCCTTGGAGCTGCTCAAATACTCAGCAGTAGCAGAATCCCATGGGGACGCCCAGGCTGGACCCATCCTGCCCTCTGGCAGAGCATGGGTGCTGCTGGGCCTGATCCTGCCATTTTCATGCACAGGGCCAGGAGAGCGAGCGAGCAGGGCTGGCTGCTGAGTCAGCACCTTCTCGCTGCGGTGGCTGCGGGAGCGCTGATGGTTTGTGTGTGCTGCAGGTCCTTGGGCATGCAGGCATCGCTCTGGAGCCAATCCCCAAGGCTGTGCACATCCCCTGGGGCTTTCAGAACCCTGGGGAAGTCCTTGTGTGACCCCGGGACTGCTGTGATTTGGGGGTGTCCTTTTGGGCCTTGTTTTTTGTTGGAGGTGGAAAGGGAGGTAGCATTGCATCCCACCACAGTGGTGGCAGCATCTGCACCCCTGTGAGCCAGGTACCGCCCTGACTGTTCATGAGCATGAAATGGAGCCATGGCAGCAGCCTTTGTGGGGCACTGCGCAACGCAGCTCAGGCATCGGCACGTGTGTCCAGCTCACAACCCCGGGCACCGT